ACATCTTTATTGAATAGCTGCGAAGTTAGTTTAAGAATCTCGAAAGAGTAAAGGCAAGAGGGCATCGCCGACGGGATATTCGCCCGGTAGAATGGTGAAAAGACCTCGGAAGCAGGTTCATTACAGGGTTATAAACGCACGTTAGAAGACCATAAGGACGCGCGGCAATTACTTAAGAACAAATCAGCCGAAACCCTGATGTCCATTAAGAAATCATCGACCCCTTGGTGAATGGTTCTTTAGTTGCTCTCGTGGCAATTTCCGAATACGCCGCGGCTGTTAGCGGGCCCGCTCGGTTCGACCGGTGTAATTAAAAAATCGCATGCTGCGAACGTCCGAGCGGATATATCCTTCCGAATTGAAATTACGTTTCTAACGCATTTAAACAGTTTTTATTACACTGGAAACGAACTATTGGGAATACCGTTGAAAAGCTCCGTTGAGCGAGAATCGTGAATAGAAAAAATAAAGATCTAACAATCGGACGAGGGAGGAAGGGGAACGCGGGAGATACGTGAATTTCGGGTGGTGTGCTTTGGATCGTTTGAAGGGAGATCGAGGCCCCCTTCACGAACCAAGCTGACAGTCGAACGGAGTGAAGAGACTGGAGAAGAGAGACTGACTGACTAAAGTATAATCAGGTTTCGACTGAGTCCGCGGCCGCATGTAATAACAGTAATCCCTTGGTTCGCCGGTAATTTGGCCGTTCGCTCAAAAACTCCAAATTATAGAAGCTGCTGTCATTAGGCCACGGCGAGAGCGCCGTGAATCGCGGGCCACCTTATTCCTCGAACCATCGGGAATTTTTGGGAAACTCGCCACCCCTCGCGATGAATCGTTAACGATACGAAATTGCCTAATAGAAAACACTGGTTTTCCACGATCTTTCTCTCCTCAACAACGTAGATCGTTGTCACGAGTAAAACGTCTACAGGACGTTAATTACAAGACGCGGGCTACCTGACGGATCTGATGTGCGAAAGGCATTACGGGCAACTAGTATTCACTATAGGCAACCAGTATTCACTATGAGGATTGTTTCCATTTTCAAAGTCGTATCGTTGTCAATGCGATGAATAATATAAGAACTAGTACTGTTGCAAGTAAATTATTAATCACTCGTGCCACCAGGTATATCGAGCTTATCGCTTCCTGGTGTTCCATGAATATTCTCGCTTTTTTTCATTCTCCGTGCTCGGTGGCATGATCATTCTCAACTGATCAGAAACCCATTCGCCATGTAGATCGTATGATATCCATAAAAAATGATAGAATTCTCAGAAGCATAGACTAGAACTGCACGAGGACTAATCGATTAGATTATCTGTTCAAATTCTTACAACTATAACATATTAAAATGAGATATTTTCATTTATCTATTGTCCCAAGGGAAATTATTTGAAGAATACTGTGAGAGTCCTATTTCCTTTTGGTAAAAATCTAGTTCATGACTAAAGGAAACGCGTAGAATAGTGGCGTCCCTAAAACTTGCGCTTGTCTAGGACTGGTGGAGCCCGAGGGAAGGATTCTCTGGATCCGTAGGAGCTAAAGAAGCGGAGAATGAACCAGACAGAACGCCCCGGGGCCACTCTCCGCCGGATAGTCGGTCTCGTTCTTTTCCCCTGTTCTTTATCGTATCAAAGAGAAGCTAGTGGACAGAGACGAGGAGAGGATCGTCGACTGTACGTCTCGAAACACCGTTTAAAACTCCATTACGCTGTTTCGTCCGTGATCCCCTTGATCGCGTTGCTCTGCGAGAACTCGGGCATGGGATCGAGAACGATCGACGATCGAGGGACGTGACACGTTAGTTTCATCTCTTAACGATCAAGCATGATCGTGAGACGAACCCTAACCCGGATTCGGATTTATTTAAAGAGTTGCAATTTCAAGTGGAAATCGAAGAATTAAACAGGCTTTATGACTCAGTGGGACCGGATAAAACAGTTCTGAGTAGCATGTCGAACGTTTTTATCCACCGCGATAATCTAAGTTTTATTCAAATGAACAATCCGGGAAATAATGTCATTCCGCGAGTTCCTTTCCCAGTGCCAGGAGAGCTTAGATATATTTCATCCGCGGCGGTTGACATATCACCAGCGGGTGGAGCACGTTAGGGGGATAGAAGGAATATAATACGGTGAAATACAAATATCGACGAATGTAAAACACATTCTGGAAACGTGAGTCATTACAATAAACCAGCGCCGTTCATTTAAATTACCCTATCGGTCGATTATGTCACGCGTCTTTTTTATGCACCTTACACCGGCGCCCATGAATATGTACACGCTGGGTTATCGATAAACAATCGTAATTATAATTGTAAAACTCGGCCCCTTTCATCTCGCGCGGCCCGGAAAATTCATCCACCGACCTGTGACGAAGCATTAATTAACACACCCGACAAATTCAGTACCATTAACCTAGTAACTGCTGTACGTTCTTCATTTCGCTGTACTGCTCACAATTAAATTACAAATCATGAAGCATCGATTCATTTCGTATCTAAAGCAAATGTTAATCGAACAAGAGTTTTTTGTACGAAGTTCTCCAAGTAATATAATAAATCCGCTAAGATTCCTAATGTATCAGTTGAATATCTTAATGATCTAATCTTCCTAAAACTCCCGTCCCTGAAATTAACCGCAAGCTCAACCGAAGAAACGTTACGCTATCAAAAATTTCTGTTCGTTAATCCAACAAAAGCTCCGCGGCACGCGATGAAAATGAATGGAAGAGTGGAGTGGGGAGGGGTGGAGGGTATCGAGGAAAGAAGTTAGGCCGATTCGGCTATATCTCAGCTAATTACGAGCAACGTATGCAAACGATTCGAGTAAAGTTCAGCCGGATATTCCACGACCAGCAGCAGGCTCCGTGCCCTCCCCCTTATATTCGCAATCAGTGCCGCACTCCGTCTCTGTCAGCTTAGCACCGGTTATCCCCGGTCTATCTTTCTCTTGATGTATCGAACATTACACACGTATATGTATCGTGTGTCGCGCGTGTATCCGCGCGTGTATATATTTATGCGTGTCCGATAGACTGTACCACTGCGTTTCCGTGTACTGCGAATTAAATAAAGAATATCCTTCCCTCCATTATCCTGTCATCCCTTGGAAAACGTATTTCCAACAAAGCTGCGACCCAGGAAGTTGGAGCTTTTTAATGGAACACAGTTCGAATCAAACTTAGTCCCGTGGATGTAAAACTATCTCGAAAAGAGCGAGTCACGTTAAACTTGTCGAGTACAATAACACGAACAGTGTAAACGCGTTTACTCATGTTTCGTACGCGATCGTCACGAAGAAGAAAGATGTCACGAATTGTCTTACTGTACCAAATGTCCAAACTGTAAACAACCATCGCCGAGAGCCAGAATTTTAATTGCTTAATTTAAACTCGACTAACCGCCGCGTCGTAAAGTAATTTATGATCCGCTAAATAGGTGAAAGCGATTTACGGAAATAAAAATGGCAGCGAAGTAACAACGATTACACTGGGAACGATTGCAAACAGATTCCGCGTATAGGATTCTCCTATTACCGCTGCGGTGTGGTGCAATAATGACGAATCCCGGTCGAGCACTATAATTTACGATCTATGCATACAGCTAAGCGTTCAAGTTAGCGCATAATCGATCGTGTACGTTCACGTGAAAACATCGAGCTATAGACGGTTCGAATCGTTTCGAATCGAATGGAACACGCGTGTTCGAAAGAGGACTTGGCGAAACGTCAAGTTCACCGTTGGACGCGCTTCACGTGCGAACACCACCCTCCTTCGATCCCATTAGCACCGGCTTTAGACACATGAATTGTATATGCGCCGCGTCACGATACTTCGTTGGGCTATCGTTCTCCTGAATGGGCAACAAATTAGCGGCTCTTACATCTCCCCGCGGTTTCCTTTCGTCGATTTTCCGCAACGACCCGTGGAGTGGACACGTATGACAGTCATATAAAGAGAAAATGATCGTTGCTAACCCTCGACACCCGTTCACGCAATTTTCCAGATTTCTTTCGGTTATACACTCGAGCCACGACAAGCGGGAACGGACGGTCGTTTGAATAATACAACGAAATTAATTGTAATAAAAATACGCCGGTGAGCAGAAATTAGGACATTTACTATAGCCAGTTTATGCGTTACTGTGCATCTAATGCACGTTCACTATGCACTATTGAAGACGTTATCATTGTTTGTTTTAATCTTAAAAAAAGAAGTGACCATCTTGTTTATGAATAAATAAAGAAATAAATTAATGTTTTCTTCCTGCGTGAAGAAGACGAATGTAAAATAATAACGGAATTAATTGAACTTTGCAACAGTCGCTTATGGCGAATTATAGTCGCGTGACTCCCGTACTAGATTCTATTTTTTATTTTACTACGAGCTATTTCATCGATGTCATTTTCATAATGCAGATAACTATGAGACACAATGCACGTCTCGTGCAAATGTTCCCTACCAATATCGTAGAATGCCCGTTACTCGCTAAATTGCTAATACGCAGTGCATACGTGTGCCAGATATGTAATCTGCGTCAGACGTACGTTTTATAAAATAGAATCTCACAGCTTGAAAGTTAGGTTTTCACATTTTCATGATTATTAAACTGTTGTGGCAATACGATATTAACACTGAACCTAACATGTGCAGTTTTTAAATTCATCTAAAGATAATAGTATTAGTATTTCAATTGCAATAGTTGGTTTTAGCCTATTTCTTTTTATATCCTTGATATTTCCTATTTTCGAAAACACTCTTTCTAAAGGTACAGAAGAGACTACCGAGGGATAGTGACTATGATTATATGATAATGAAACTTGTAATTAGATCACAGGGTGTAGTTCTGTTTCTATTTTCCAAAATACTTATAGAGAGCTCGAGTTCGATCAGTCGAACTTTGAACCCGTTCGCGAGGTACTTGATCCCATCCCTGATCCCGAACGACAAGTTTTAAATATGTATACGTGCGATATGCACACGCCGCTTACCTTTTCCCGTTCCGGCGTCGCCTCTTAGTTGCATAAACGGTGCCCAGCTGGCTCATGGCTACCGGGTTGTTGGGTCCCGACGCCGTGGTCGGAGTCGGTACCGGCGCCGATGTCGGTGTCATCGCGTTCTCAACGACGTGGGGCTGAGGGTGCGTGCCGGTCAGAGTGAGCTGAGGTCCCGGGGGATAGCATGCCGCCGTCACGTAATCCGTCGCCGCGATGGACGACGCGGCAGCCGCAGCGTTCGGTCCACAAATCCCGGCGATCACCCCCTGCACACCACTACCGACGCTCGTCCCGCCACCGCCTCCAACCCCTGCTCCTCCACCCCCGACCACCCCCAGCCCCGCCGAGGCGGTCCTGTCCAGCGCGTACACCGTGCAGACCGTGACGCCCTTTGCCACCGTCGACGCTACGTCATCGTCGTCTGTCACTGGTTGGTCGGCCAGCTGTCGGCTTCCGTCGAGCTTGCGAGCACCGATCCCGGTGACCGGCGTCGGGACGGTGGCGCAGCTGCCACAGCTGTTCCCGTTAACCCGACCGATAACGCTTATATCCAAACGGATCAACGGAACGTTACACTCCTCGCGAGTTCAACCGACGATTCACCAGAGAATAAAATTGTCAACTAGCAGAGAGTTAATCCAAGGGTCGATGATGCGGCACGTTATCGGCTACCGGGTCGTCACTATCGAGGCATAGATAATTTCCAATCGCAGCAATTCGTGGTAGAACCGATTTACGTAGCGTAGAATCATGTTACAGATCGTGAGAAGGTTTCCGGAGACCCTCGGTGACCACGGTTTTCGAGCTCACCGTCACTGATGCCACGCGTAGGGTAAAACACGAGACAGGGAAGAAGAGTCGTTCACACGTAGCGCGCGCATCACGCGAATGCGTTCCACCGTCGACGAATGTCACTGAGCTACCAAGTCACGATCCTGCGGCTATCGCCCCGAATATTTTCAGGCCGGGCAACGTCGGATCACCTCGAACGTGGCTTCGTCGCGGCACGATCATCGTCGAGCACTTATCCCAGCTTGTTTAAAAAAAAAAAATAACCTCTGGCCACTGTAAACATATCACGGTGCTTCTAATCCCTCACTGTTTCCCCCTCGTTGCCACTGTATCCTTATTCGCACGACAAAACTCGAAAACTCACATTATCTCCTCGTATCACGTGTTCGCAGTTCGAAATTGATTATCACTGTCAGTGCGATTAACACGGCGGTTTGCTTGGAAACACGGATCAGATCGCGTCACGTGCACGCGGAAACTGAACCGCGCATCATCCCTCTCTCGCCCACGGGGCACTCTCGACTCCCTCCCCTACTCTTCTCTTTCTCCTTCGACGCCCCCCCTCTCCGAAACGGGTCGCACTCGTAGCTCCCTCCCCCTTTTATCGTACACTTTTTCTTTCCAGCGACCCTTTTTTTTTTCCTACCGCGCGTGAAAAACGCACACGAAACCACGACCACTGGCTCGCGCGATTCCCCGATTTCCGGTTGGCGAAAAACGTCGCCGCCGAGGAGAGCGGGTAAGAACGGGAGAAACCGAGTGTTCGCCTGGTAGAAGCGTGTCGTGCACTGGGTACTGGCTGGCTTGCCGGGCGTAGCATAAGTCAGGAGACCGTGGCATAGATCGGAACACGGGTGGTGGAGATCGCTGGTGGTGGTAGAAACTTACTCCATAGGAGTAACCTCGACGCTGGTCGTCGGGTCGGCCGCCACCTTCTACCCTTGGAGATCGTCGCGATCGCTTTTCGGATCCCTTCTCGCGTGCACGGTCACGCCTACGCGTCGTTTGAATCGACCAATCGGCAAGCCAGCATGGCGTTAACCGGTCCAACCCGCGCCGTTTTCAAAGATACCATCGCGCGCGTTAAACGATTACACCTATTCCGGCCGACGATCGCGGCGTCCTTATTCAGCGCACCCGGCCACTCCTACGCAACCGTGCGCGATCCTCGTCTTACCTGTGATCAAAAGCGAAGCTGAGGATTTCGCTGGATTCGATGTCGCATGTTACGGGCTGTTCGTTAATCCTCGATTCCTCCTGCATTTGCTTATCTTCGTCAAAGGTTGCGATGATGAAAAGGGACAATCGTGGATCAGCGGTGGTGAACTTTCCTGGAATAAAAACAAAACAAAAAACCTTGGAATTCACCGACTAAATTTATTACTTTATTTATGTATACGCGAACGGTAGTTAGTATTAGTTGTTTATTATTAACCCTTTTATAATGCCGACCGCAAAAGTTGTGTGTTACTCAACTTTGAACTTTCGTAATTTTATGAGAGAGTACTATTGCATCCACACACCATTTATAGTTTATACTTTATACGAACTTGTGTGACGATCTTTTGTTTTTTAATATACATACAATACTTTTGACGATTGCTAGCGTCAAGAAAAACTATATTACGGTATCCACTGTGATAACACAGGAGTTTAATTTAATAAAAGACCTTATTCACAAAATAAGTATTTTTCAGCAACTAAATATAACAACATTTAGCGTACTCTATTTAGTGTCATTCATAGGATTTCTGAAAAGGAATTAAACCACGTACATGTAATATTTTATAAAATTTTAACAGAGTTCTTTCGCGATGCCATCGCATGCGCAACGATATACGTCGTTAGTATCGAAAGAGTTAAGAAAATATAAAGCGTCTTGAAAAATTCTATTTGCCTTTTGAAATTAAAAATTTTCCTCGGAATTTCAAATCGGAAATGGAAATTTACGTAAAAGGAATTAATAAGACGGAGTGTTTCGTGCACAGTAATATCGCCATGGATGGTGACATCCGACGGAATGCTTACTCCAACTTTACTCTGACAAATTTCTCATTACGCCTTTCACGCAAATTGTCTAACATTTTTCACACGAACTGACAATCAGATAAACTGTACATCGAATAAGAAATATGCCAACATTGCATTTTCTATTATAAAAATATGACTAACAGCTCTTCTCTATGTTTTTCTATCGCTCTCTTCTTTATATTCTCTCTATCGTTCGGTAACACCTTGCATTCCCAAAGCTCATGCAATCGTTGTTCTACCTATTCTTTGATCCTACGATTTATCAGGAGACGAATCCCTTCGTGAGCGTAATCAGTTCACGAGGCATGATTCCTGTTCCTAGGCGTGGAATAACATTGGTATGACATTATGACAGTGATACCGTTGACACTACGCCCCGAACCGATCGCGTCACGATCGACATTGGGCACGCGTCGCGGCACATATTCTCCGAGAATCTCAGCCAATATCGACGGCGGCTTAACCGAAAACAGATTGCAAACGGATCGAAACGTCCCGGTGACATGCGATTCGACGGTTCGTTTTATCTCGTCGTCGTTTTAGATCGGCCCGATACCCGGTGGTTGGAAGAGAAAGTTCGATACCGAGAAAACCTTAACACTCTGCGTTGTATTATGTCACGTATAAAATTGTGGATTGCATGTGCGGAACACATATGTGGGGATGTCTAGATCATTGCCTGTCGAGGGTGAATCCTGTTTCGTTACAACTGACGCTGTTACGTCAGTAATATGACAAGAAATAATAAATATTTCGACTGAGAGCATCTGACGTCTACTTATTACTGTTATACATTTAGAATAGTAGGAGTAGAACGTTTTTTTCACTGTTAACCCAATGATGTCATATTTAAATGCCTACACAGCTGACTGAGAAATCAGACACTGTTTTCAGACTCAGTTTCATCGTCAGAAAACTCACAACGTACTATGTAAAATATTTTCGATAAGTTTCCTAAGTCCCTCCTCATTATCACTACGAAATCTTCCCAAACATCATAAAAAAATCGCGTAACAACCCCAGGTCGTCGTACAATTCAAATCGGTTAAATAAGTTTTGATAGAAATATTGTGGAATTGTTTCTATGAAAATGAGAATAATTCGTGATAATCAGCATCGTCGTTAGCGAACAGTATTACGTAAAACATGTTCAGAGTTTAAACTTTATTTCTACATTCGTCGTGGCTTTTTGCAATACCATTCGTTTTGTGACGCAGGGGTACAATTATGTAAAAAACTTGTAGAACTAATTACAACTTCCCGAGACTTTTCTACAATTGGTTTTTGCCTCCAATTGCCTGCTGTATACTTTACACTTTTATGAATCATTCCTTGCCACATGTTTCTAGGTCTCTACCCAACATGTTAACAAATTGATGCATTTTGTATTGTTGTATTAATATTTAAAGTTATAAGCTTCTACACAAAATACTACTACTTCTATACTACATCTACTGGCTTCTGTGTATTATTACTTCTTAGTACATACAATAATCTTCTATATAAAATTAATTTTCTATACAAAATTGAATAACATATTTCCTTTGTCGACGATTAATGCACCGATAAGATGATAGTCTTTTCATGCNGTTTCGTGCACAGTAATATCGCCATGGATGGTGACATCCGACGGAATGCTTACTCCAACTTTACTCTGACAAATTTCTCATTACGCCTTTCACGCAAATTGTCTAACATTTTTCACACGAACTGACAATCAGATAAACTGTACATCGAATAAGAAATATGCCAACATTGCATTTTCTATTATAAAAATATGACTAACAGCTCTTCTCTATGTTTTTCTATCGCTCTCTTCTTTATATTCTCTCTATCGTTCGGTAACACCTTGCATTCCCAAAGCTCATGCAATCGTTGTTCTACCTATTCTTTGATCCTACGATTTATCAGGAGACGAATCCCTTCGTGAGCGTAATCAGTTCACGAGGCATGATTCCTGTTCCTAGGCGTGGAATAACATTGGTATGACATTATGACAGTGATACCGTTGACACTACGCCCCGAACCGATCGCGTCACGATCGACATTGGGCACGCGTCGCGGCACATATTCTCCGAGAATCTCAGCCAATATCGACGGCGGCTTAACCGAAAACAGATTGCAAACGGATCGAAACGTCCCGGTGACATGCGATTCGACGGTTCGTTTTATCTCGTCGTCGTTTTAGATCGGCCCGATACCCGGTGGTTGGAAGAGAAAGTTCGATACCGAGAAAACCTTAACACTCTGCGTTGTATTATGTCACGTATAAAATTGTGGATTGCATGTGCGGAACACATATGTGGGGATGTCTAGATCATTGCCTGTCGAGGGTGAATCCTGTTTCGTTACAACTGACGCTGTTACGTCAGTAATATGACAAGAAATAATAAATATTTCGACTGAGAGCATCTGACGTCTACTTATTACTGTTA